GAATGTGAAAGCAGTGGGACTTACAGGTTAGGCTGTCCAGCAGGCAGGTAAAATTTTAAGACTGGAGCTTGGAAAGAGGCCAGAGCTATAGCCATAGAATGGGGTTCATTCACATAGAAATGAGAGCTGAAGTTGTAGGAGCAAGGGATCTTTTTCTAGGGCTGAAAGTGGTGAGAGAAAAGAAAATGAAGGAGAGGACTTTGAGACCATCTACATTCAGAGGGCAGAAGGAAAATAAACATTTAGATAAAATAGAGAACTAACTTTGTCAGAGAAGAAGCATCAGGATAAAACAGGGTCCCAGAAGCCAAGGGAAGTAAAGTGCTCAAAAAAGAAATGGTGGCCAGTATTTCCATAGGAGGATGGAGACTTAAAGATGGTCATGGAGTTAATAAGTATGGAATGATACTTTGTTGTAATTGATCTTGAGTCAAAACTGGTTTGTTTCCTTGGTAATGACACACTTATAAATGATATAAAGACAGAGAGAATTAGTGAAGAAACATTAATAAGAGAATTGTTAGAATAGACTCCCAACTAGAACGTAAGCTATTAAAAAATTAGCCCAGCATGCACCATGTTGGGTTTATCTTCTTGTTTTTTTTAAGCTGCTGCTGGTCACTTTGACCCAGACCGTTAACTTCTTCACTTGATGGCAAGGTCCATGAAAGCAGAAAGAGAAGCATCTCTCTGGGCCTCAATTTCCATATCTAGAAAACGGAAACACTGGACTACATAATGTCTAAAGTTTCTTCCAGTCTTAAATGTCTTTCTTCTCACAAGGCCACCACCCTAATTCCATCACCTCCATCACCTCTTTTATAGATTAATACAATAGCCACCTAATTAGCTGGCTCCCTGCCTCAAGTTTCTCTCCTCTCCACACATCTGCTGAAAGTGATTTTTCTAGAGCACAGTTATGACCAAATCACTTCGTTATTCATTAACCGCCAGTGCCTGCCTATGGCCTCTAGAATCAAATTTAAACTTTTCTGCTCAGCCTTGGAAACCTTCACAACCTGGCCTCATACGACCTTTTCAATCCTGCTGTATATTCAGGAGTCCATGCAGGCTGTCTTCCTCAACCACAACACCTCCACCTCCCATCTCTAAGTCTTTGCATTGCCTGTCCCCCAGGAATGCACTACTTCCTCATTTATGCCTCCCCAAATCCCTTGTTCCTTCAAAATTGAGCTTAGGAACCATTTTCTATGTGAACCTTTTCTAGGTTTCTCTTCCATAACCCAGCTGCTAGTGATTTCCCTTCAAAAATTATGCCGCATTTATGTTGTAAATATTTTACTTGTATACATACACCTATCACAGTCAGTCAGTTGATAAACATTTATTAGCTCCTACTATGTACCAGGCACTGTATTAAGCACTGGGAACACAAAGAAAAATAGAAGACAGTCTCTGCCCTCGAGGAGCTCCCAATCTAATACAAATATTTTTATAATTATTATAATTATCCATATTATCTCCCTTGATAGCATGTAAGTTCCCTGAATGCAGGGACTAATTCAATTTTGACTTTCTATTTCCAGTGCCCAGTATGTAGCATGGTTTGCTTGTTGATTAATCCTTTATCTTTTTGTACCCCAAAACCTCAAACACAACAGATGCTCAGTAACTACTGAATAGAAAAGGACTTTGATGGAGAGAGAGAGTTAAAGAAGAGACTCATTCTTTCTTCCTTCCCCAGGATAAAAGATATATTGCTTGGAGGGGAAAGAGGAATATTTTGAGAAAATTGGGCAGCGACCACAGATCACCCGAAACACAACACAATAAGGAACCACCGAATTTTAGAGATCATTCTAGCTCAGCTCCCACATTTTATTCCTGAGGAGAATGAGGCTCAGTGACCTGCCCAAGGTCCCACAGTTAGTGGCAGAATCAGGCTGCCTCTCACTCAGGCCTCCCAACTCCCACTTGCTCGGACACTCTTTTTGACTAGGCTCTGGTGTCTAAAGTGTGCCAGTCATTGCCTAGGTCCTCTCCTGATATAGTTTATGAGCAGGGCCAGAGCATGCCAGAATCAGCAGGCAAAGCTTGAAGTGATATTGATCCTCTTCCAAGAAAGACCATGGTCTGCTCTCCCTGCCATATTTCTAGCAACCGCACAGTGGGACAATGTGGTTTTTAATTTTTCATCTTGTGGAAGATTTGGATTCATGACAATTAATGTAGTTGGTAGAATTTTTTTTTTTGCCTTTTAAGACTTTTTCCCCCTTCTTCCCATAAATAGGAGTTATCAAGCATTAAATAGCCTATGGGGCAATAGATCACATATATAAGCACTTTCTTTACAGCAGTCCTGTGAAGTAAATAGTATAAAGCAGTCTTATTCCCGTTTTATAGTGAAAGAAGTACTTGAACCCTAAAGGGAAGTGCTTTGTTCCACTGGGTAATGAGTGTCAGTGTCAAAGGAGGGACTTGAACCCAGGTCCCCAGGCTGCATGCATGCCTAGGGCTCTTTCTCCCACTTAATTTGCCTTCTGGCCCATAGCTTGGGCTCAGGTTGTCCGTGGACAATCGGGTCACACAATGCCAAGTTTCAGGCTTGGCCCCCCTCTTGGCTCGTGTGGCCCACGTCCTGGAGTGATGTGTTGGAGCATTTCAGCAACCCCAGGGATACAGCTGGCCCCACCCTTTGCCCTGCACAAACAGGAGGCGCCCAGGGATTCGTCAGGATGATTCCCCTCCGTCACTTCCTTTTTTTTGAACTTGACCCTGGCTCCATTTTATTATTGTTGTTTTTCCTGTGTGCGTTAGATGGGTATCTGACCATTTGTAACCAAAGGCATTTATAAATTCCTCTGTGAACGTTGTGCAAACGCATTCCATAGACGGCCCAGGCCTTTCCCTTTTGGCTCCCTGAAGGCTGCTTGGGCTTTCATCTCCTGCTGGGGAGGAGCCTCCCGTGGGTAAGCAGAGTACAGCGACTCATGCACTGATGCCTGCCTGAAAAGGAAAAAAAAAATGGAGGGTAGAGAGGACTGTGGTGGAGAGACATCGAGGAGGGGCCTTTCTCTTTTGAAAAGGGAAATGATCAGCGACAAGTAACTGGACTTCTGAACATTATAGATCCTGACATGTTGGGGGTGCAACCACTTTTCATTCCTGGCAAGCAGCAATCTGGGAGCTGACTTAGAAAAACAATGCTCTGTAGGGCAACTTTAATGGTATGCAAAGGCCTGAAGAACTGGATGATTTGTCAAACTGGAGAGAAATACAGGAGGCAGCTTGGTACAGTGGGAAAAACACCGGATTTGGAGTCGTGGGACCTGGGTTCGAATCTCAGCTCTGGCACTACCTGTGTGACCTTGGGCAAGTCATTTAACTGCTATGGGACTCAATTTCCTATCTGTAGCATAAGGGGGCTTGGACTCATTGGCACTAAAGTCTCTTCCAGTTCTAAATCTATGATCTTGGAGTTGCAAACACCTTAAATCACAAAATGTTAGAGCTGGGATGACACTTAAAGTCATCTGGTCCAACATTTTACAGATGAGCTTTCGACGGTACTGACCACTTTTTCCTTCTTGATATGTTCTCCCTGATATGACCCGGTTCTAAAGCCTGGTTCTCTACCATCTGTGACCAACCGTTCTCTGTCTCCTTCCACAGATCCCTTTTCTCCTTCTGTTTCCTTGCTCATGTCTCTATTCGAAGTGAGTTTCTTGGCATGCATTTGTGGTATACTTAATATAATTTTCTGTTTCCTTTTAAATGTTTCCAAGAAATGTATCAAGAACTTTAATCACATCTGACTAATCTATTTTGAGCATTTTTGTTCTTTTGCGGGGCTGGAGAGTTTCTGATAAGGTGCTTCTAGTTTCTCCCTACTTTGTTTTAGTTTTTTTTTAAAACAAAACAAAACCTTTTTCCTTATTGAGGTTTCAAAAAAATATTGGCTCTGAAAAAAATTCTTCCCTCAAATTCTAGCTGCCACCTGCATTGTTTCTGTGACTCCTTTTCACGAGGCATTGCCTGCTCAGGGAGGAAAACCAGACTTCCAACCCTTAGTTATCCTTTGTGGTATTCAGCAAACAAATATTTTGGCCCAGTTGTGAGATCGACCTGGTCCCTAGACTGTTGCCCTTCTGAAAGTTGAACGCCTGTCATTCCCCAGTGGTTCCTGCTTTGCTCGGTATGTTGATGTTTCCAACATGTTGTGGCCATTTTCTGTGCGGCTGCATTCTTGTGCAAACAACCATGAGCCTTTGTTCTGAAATTAAAAGACAACAGAAACTAGACGTTGTCCTGTGGAAAAGTGTTTACCCCCATTTTAAAAATCAATGTATCGAAAACTGCGTATATATGAGGGGTAGGGGAGTGGGGGTGGTTTCCAAATAATGATATTCTATAGGCTTTTTTTTTTTTTGGTGAGTATTCACTGACTTCCCCTCCAGATAACTTAATTTTCATTCTAAAAGAATGGGAGGTTGTACCACTGACATGCCACCTCAATCTTTATTAAATGTCTAGTTAAAAAACAGAATTTCTAGTTAAAAAATAGAAAACTAAATGATTGGAACAAGTTTAAAAAAAAAAACCAACGTGAACCAGCGGGTTATAATCAAATCAATAGGTTACTCAACTTGGAAATGCAGAAGGCCTGAGTTCAGAGCCCACCTTAGACACTGACAAGCTGTGCCTTAGTTCTCTTGTTTGTAAAATGAGGCGAATTTGCTGGCCACCAAAGTCCCTCCCAGCTCGAAATCTGTGATCTCATAAAAGCAAGTAACACGCCAACTTCATGTCTGAATGTTTGATAAACCTAAGAAAGTAAACTACCTGGGGAAGGCCTCCCTGGTCAGTGTGGACTGCTGGGAATATGGGAAATAGATTTTGACCAGAATAAGTTGTTTTGTTGAAAATTATTCCCATTTTTTCTAAAAAAAAAAACCCCAACTTGTAGCAAATGGACTTTATTTAGGTCTCTCAATGCCTTTCTCTTTTTCTTTTTTTTTCTTTCTTTTCTTCCTATTTAGATCACTAATTTTCCCAGCTGTGACGCTGACATGTTTTCGTAAGATTGCTCTGAGAGACACCATAGCAAAGTGGAAAGAGAGCTGACCCCAGGCTCAGAAAGATCTGGGTTCAAGTGCTGCCTCTGACACAACGTTGTCTGTATCACCTTGAGCAAATCATTTAACTTCTCAATACCCCAGGTAACTCTTTAAGATACAAAATGCAGAACAGTTGCCCGCCTCCATCATCAGAGGGAGTTTCTATTCAACGGTGGGGGGAAAGGGATTTCTATAGGACACATAAAGACATTTGACCTTTAATTGTGACTCTGTTCTAGAGGCTGGATTTCTGAGAATTAGGCAAGTATGGTGCTTCCTTTGAATTCTAGGAAGAGATAGTTTTTGTTTTCACAGTGACATCCGCTGGACTTGCTATGTGACCCTTTAAATTCTCGAGGCTCAATTTCCTTATATATAAAACAAGAGTGTTGGACTAAAGGATCTCTAAGACTCTTGACCAATGATGTTTGAATTCTGTGATTCACTGCTGGTGGCGCCATCATCTTTCTGAAGGTTGTGGGGCTTTGGAAAGCAACATTTCCAAAGCAGCAAAAATGGAGATTAAATGGGGAATTACTGGGGGAAAACGTTTCTGATAGTCTTCAAGATGGAGTGGTGAGTGGAAAAGTGAGCAGAGAAAAAAAATAATGATATAATAATTCATATTTATATTAGTGCTTTGAGGTTTGTAACTAGCTTTTCTCACAACTCTGCAAGATAGAGAGTGAACTTTTTATTATTTTCATTTTACAAATCAGGATACTGAGGATCAAAGAGATTAAGTTGCCCAAAGTCCCACCACTAGAAAATGTCAAAGCTGATATTTAAACCCAATCCCCCAATTCCAAATCCAGTGTTATTTCTACTAAATTAGGCTGTCTCATCAGAAGCCAGCAGGCACCTAAGAAAATCTGCGCGTCATATATGAAAATCTTTTTTTTTTAATTCTCTTTTTCTGTCTGAGAGGGATGAAGAGATGGGATACATTGGGAAATATAGGTGATAGAAAACCAAATTATAGCCAAACAAATCTCTTTTTTTTTTTAAATTAAAAAAATTGTCTTTTTGCAGGGACACATTTTGTCACCAAAAAATATGCCAACCCCTGGCAAAAGTATATTCAGTGAACACGTAAATAGAAAAACTTCCTGTTATACTGATTGCAATTGACAATACCTGTAACTTTCCACTTCTGTAGCCTTGTTGAGGAAAAAAACCAAAAGGAAGTATGTAATGATTTAATGACATTGCTTATTGTATTTACCCTAATATAGTAGCCTTTTAACGTTGTCTTCGTTTACATTGGGGCAGTTGTTGGTTATATTGTTCTTTTGGCTCTGCTCTTTTCACTCTGCATCATTTCATGTGCTTTTCCCATGTTTCTAGGAATTCTTCAGAGTTAAGGAAAGATTCCTTACAGCACAAGTCTATTCCATTACGTTCACAGGATATGATTTGTTCAGCCATACCAACATCGTTGGGCACTAAGTTAGTTTGAAGATTTTTGTTGCTAGCAATGACGTTATGAATATTTTTGTATAGTTGGGTCTTTCCTTATAATCATTAAGCCCATTGGGGTAGAAGCAGAGCAGTGGAATTTCCATGTCAAGTGGCACAAACAATGTAGTCTTGCATGATTTCAGGCTGTTTTTCAGATCAGTTGGATTAATTCACAGCTTCTGGAGCAATAACTTAGCATGGTTATCTACCCATAATCCTTCCTGTATTTAATCACGTATCAATTTAGGGGTAAGATGGTCCCCCAGAGCTATTTTGCTTAAATTTCTCTGTTAGTGATTTTTGAACAGTTTATTATATGGCTCTTGATAGTTATTTGTTTTAAAAAGTATCATTTAACATTCTCTGATCCTTGTGTGTCAGTTGGGGAAAAGCTCTTAATCTTAAAAACTAGTGTTAGTTTTCAATGAATTTTAGATGTCAGACTATTTTTGCCTCATGTCTGTATTTTTTCTTTTTATTCTACCTATATTGATTTTGTTTATGCAAAAGCTTTAAAATTTTAATGTATTCAAAATTGTCTATTTTTATGCTGTTTCTTAATCCCCTCCTCTATTCCATCTCTGGTTATGAATTTTCCCTCTATCTGTAGGAGAGAAAGAGGGAAGGGAAAGGAGAGGGAAATGAAGATAGAGATAGGGAGAAAGGAAAGGGGAGGGAGAGAAAATATCAGCCCTTTATTTTCCTCTGGCTTTTTAATGATATGATTTTTAAAGTTCGAGTCTTTTATCCATTTGGTTTTTATTATAGTGCATGACATAAATTGGTGGTCTACATCTGTATTCCACAAAACTGCTACCCTGTTCTTCCAACAGCCCTTACTGAATAAGGGGTTCCTTCCTAGCTAGTTTTTGGAAGACTAGACAGCTTATGTTTGCTTATCATATCTTGTCCACTCATGTATTTTCTATTTTTTAAAAATCTAGTACCAGTTTTTACTAGTACTAATTTTTATAAGTATGATATTGTAATATGCTTTAAGATCTGGTAAAGTCAAGCATCCTCCATTTCTTTCATGTGAAAAAGGGTCCTTTTATTTCTGTGTTTATTACTGGTTTTGTTTTTTTGCTTTTTGGTGAGGCAATCCGGGTTAAGTGACTTGCCAAGAGTCATACAACCAGTAAGTGTCAAGTGTCTGAGACCATATTTGAACTCAGGTCCTCCTAACTCCAAGGCTCTATCCACTGTGCCACCTAGCTACCCTGCTTATTATTGTTTTTAACATAAATATTGTATCTCATTGAATAGTCTTTTTCTTTATCCATTGATAAAATCATACTTTTTTGTTATTAAAATGCCTTGTATTGTAATAAAATGTACTGTGGAAAGTACACTGGTTCTGGAGTCAGAGGATCTGGGTTCAAATCTTGTCTCCGATGCTTGCTACCTGTGTAATTCTGGACAAGTTACTTAATCTTCCTAGTTCTCAGTTTTGTGTGTGTAATTAAGGTACTGGATTAGGTGATCTCCGAGTTCCCTTCTAGTTCTAAGAGATTATATTACCTGTAGTTAATTATGCTGAGTTTTCTTAATGGTGAGCTATTCTTGCATTCTGATAAAATTCCAACATGGTAATAGTGAATAGTTTTTGGATGTATTGCTATAGTGTCTTTACTAATAATTTATTTAAAAATTTTGCATCAATATTTACTAGTGATATTAATTTGCATATTTTTTTTCCTTCTTTATCTCTCCCTGGCTTAGGTATCGAGATAATATTGGTCTAGTAAAAGTAGTCTAATAAAGTACTTTCTCTGTTTTTGAGATTTATGTAAGCATAGGGAATATTTGTTTTTTGTTTAATATTGGATACATAAGTGAATTCTTACAGATAAGAGAGAAGCAAATTTTGTCAATCTTGACAAGGAAGGTGTTTTTTTTTTTAATTTCCTAGCAAGTGATTTATGGATTATTCCATATTTCTCTCTGAGAATGGGTTGTTTAGGTTTGTTAATTTGCTTATTTTATATTTTTGTAGCTGTTCATCCATTTCATTTAAATTTTCAGTTTTGTTGGCATATATTTGGGTATAGTAGTTTCTGTGTCAATTTTTTTCTGCTTCATTGTGAATCTCCTCTTTTCATTTATGATAAAGGAAAACAAAATTATCTCTTTTGGAGATACATAAAATTAGCATATCCATTTTGCTGATCTTGAAAAAAAAATAAGCCCTTTGTTTTGTTTATCATCTTCTTTCTTTTCAATTTTGTTATTCCTTTTGGAATTTCCTCTATGTAGCATGTTATGGGATTATTAATTTGTTGGTTTTCTAGCTTTTGAAATCACGTGCTTAATCTTCTCTCTTTTTGTTTAAAAAAAAAAAGAAAAGCTATGCTTTCTCATCTTGGCATGGAGGTGTTTCTGGGTTCTCAAAGATTATGCTAATGGAGTGCAAACTCTGGTTCTCTAATGCTATAAAGGTTTTGAATATGGTCCCAGCAATACACCATGTTTTCTTTCCTAGGGACAGTATAGCTAAGTGTGGAGAGATTCATCACCAGCAGGCTGGTCACTAATAAGGCACTGGGCTAAATACTGGGCAAAACAAAAAGTCCCTGCCCACACAGAGCTTACATTTTACTAGTGGGATATAACATGCATACAAAGCTGTGCTTGGAAGGCAGCTAAGGACTCTTGTCTTTCTAATGCCATGATATCAGACTGAACACTAGATTCTAAGCTCTTATGTTTTTCTAGGAAAATGAAATTGGCAAATCACATTGCTCAGGAATCTCAGAGCCTATGAGGAAAGGCACTTCAAAGTTTACCAGTCAATCAACAAAAAAATACTAAACCCATTCTGTGTGCCAGAAACTTGGCTAGGTCTTAGAGGTATAAATACAAAAATGAAGCAATTTGTACCCTCAACAGACTTCAAGAGAGATGATATATGTGTGTGTTTGTGTGTGTGTGTGTGTGTGTGTGTGTGTGTGTGTAATATATAAAACACATAAAAACCAGATATAAAGTACAAGTAGCTGGTGGTGGAGGAGAGCAGGAAAAGCTGTCTTGTCTATATCGGAAGTTTCAAGCTCTTTCTGTCTTCTAGTTATGGCAGCCAGGGATTCCAGGTGGAAGAGAAGTCAGAAAAGTTTGATATTTATACCATTTTTATATATTTAAACATTTGAGGCATGGTATACAAAGACACAGAGAAAGGAAATGGTCAGTGGACCATGTTATGTGTGAATGGAAGTAATGTATAATAAAGCTGGAAAAGTTAAGATGGGACCAGGTTGTGAAGAACTTTAAATGCTAATAATTCACTTACTACAGTTCATTGGTAACAGTAAATAGGATGTCTACATTTTTACGACCAAAGTAATTTACCAATAGGTTGAGCCCAAGTCAAGATGCTCAAAAGGTTATGAGTGTTTCTTCCCAAAGAAGATATTAGTCTACTAAGTCTGTGTGTCTTTAAAGACATAAGAAAATTAAACTGGTTCAAACATACCCGCTGTGTCCTTTTACATTTTAACTGATTGATGTTTTTAGACAAGACGACCTATAAATAGAAGAAAAATGCTTGAATGCACTAAATGATGTCACCAAAAAATGAAATTTATTCTACTTTAACAGATAAGAAATAACTTGTGATTCATGTTAGCATTAACCCCAAATGAGAAGTCTATATAGTCAGCCCAGTAACTTATTAAAACAAAGATAAAAATTAAGAAAAATAAGAAAAAATGAGAAAAATATACACAATTTTAAAATTAGCATTGAGCCTATTTGAACAAGTTATTGATGACAAAAGATAGAAATGGATGGAAGAAAGAATATTGACACTTAAAAAAAAGTTTTGGTTAAACAGAATTTTAATCTGTGTGAAATAGTTGCTGTAACAAGGAGACCAAATGAACCTAAAAATTGCCTAAGTCAGCAAACGCTTGATCTCTTTGTCAAGTGGAGAATGATGGCAACCAGGATGATGCTAGTTTAGAACATAAACTTGCTCATTAAATGTTATAGCAAAGGATTTTCAATATCATGAGCAGTACGATATCAAAATGCAGAGAAAAACAGTGAAGTAAAAATCCAGTTTACAGAAAATCTGGTGGAAGATCCAACTAAGCCAGATCCTTCTTAGGACATTTAAGGGTGAAACAGGGAAAACAACACCTGGAAGAAAAGTGGAAACTGTAGTCTATATTTCTGTCTCTCTAACTATCGATCTAATGAACTCTTTTCATATCAAGGATGGTAGAGTCACCACATTTGGACTCTACCATCAAGGTCTCAGATGTGTTTGTTGAGGACCTGGAAGGTATTAAAGAAAACAAAAATGGGAGGAACAATTGAATCAGACCAAAACAGAGAAGCTTGGTGCTAAAGGTGAGACAATTTTGAAGGCATTGAGGGTTGCATTTTCAGAGTGTCTGAAGGAATAGA